TTTCCTTTTTTTTTTCCCCAGCCGAGGAGCGGCATGGCGCGGCGCGGCAGGCGGCCGAGGGGAAAAAAAAAAGAAAAAGAAAGAAAGAAACGGCCATGTGCCTGACTGAACTGCTAGAAAAAGCCAGCCCGAGTTTCAAACTGCTAAATGCAGTTTCAAATGCAATTGAAACTCGGGCCCTGACTAAACTGCTAAAACGCAGTTTCAAATGCAATTACAAACTGTAACCCTGACTGCGCCGTAGTTTTCTCTTTCATTTTTAAACAGCTGGTCAATTTAGGTGGACAGCACTACGTTCCAGGACTGTGGTAAATAACGGATCCCTTGAAGGGAGAAGGGGAGACTCCCGGTCTCTTGGCAGCAGCCATGCGACTTGTGTGAGCCTGGGAGCCAGCTATAGCAACTTTCAATAGTCTGTTCAATCATCTAAGGCCACTCGCAGTTCGTCCTGACAAGGGCCATTCCTTGCGGGTGGGCCCTGCAGTTCACCGTCGTTACAGTCTTTAGAGCCTGCCATGGGGTCTGCATATACTACCACTCTCTTTAGGGCAGCAAGTGAAATGTTCAGAGTTCTATATGTCAGTATCATCCTAGGGAGACAGATCCTGCAAGAGGTAGACAAACAATCATTCAATTTGAAATGTCCAGGAACGCTGGACCCGCTTTCCAGCAGGTGTTGCTCCCCACCAATAGATGGGGCCTCCCCGGGAGTGCTGGTGGCGTCTGCTCTTACCAGCACCCCAAGCACCGGTCCGGGTTGTTTTATTCAAAAAAAAAAAAAAAAGCCATCTCAAAAACTCCAACAGTTTAAGAAAATGCCATCTAAAAAAAGGCAAGTATCCTTTCTGTCAGAGGTGGGCAATGGGTGCCCAGAGCTGCACCCACCTGCACCCACCAGACCCCCAACTTGATGGGGTCGGGTCTGGGTCTCCTAAATCTGTTCTCGGTGGGTAACGGGTGAGTGCAGCTAGCCAGCCTTTGTGGGTGATGAACGGGTGAACATTTGGTCTGGGTCACCCGGGGGGGGGGGTGATGGGCGAATAATGGTTCGGCCTGGGTCACCCGACCCAAAGACCCCGGAATATGCCCCCGTCCCCAGACTCCCTTCCTCCCCCACCCCCCAACAAAACAAGTGCCCTGGACTAAACTGCACAGTGCGTAGGGCCTGACAGCGAGGGGGGGGGAAAGGGCCTGTCTGCTCCTATCAGCGCCCCTAGCACTAGCTCGGGCTGTTTAAAAATAAAAGTAAAAAAAATAAAAAAGAGTAAGTGGAAAAAAAAAAAGTCTCGCCGCTCAGTCCAATGTCTCCCTTTTAAAAAAAGAGGGAGTGGATCTAGCAACAGTAGGCAGCTTGTGATAAGCCAAGATCCGTACCTCGTGGCCTCACGTACCCTTCGGAGTAAACCCCGAAGTAAGCCCCGAAGTACAAATCTTGGCTAACTACAGAAATGGGGTCT